GTGTCACAGAGTGTGGAAATGTTGTAGCTGGACTTTGTTTGGTTATTAAACATGTAGTGATCAGGGTTATCCACTGGGTGAACGTTTGGTATTAATTCGTTCTCCTCCAGTTGCAGCCATTTCTCTTTTATGGACTGTGATGCGTTTTTTGACACTGAGCTTAACGTCAAACCACTTTTTAAAATTTTTGCCGCCGATCTCTCCTCTGACCAACAGAAATAACTGCGGTGGTTATCTTGTCTGCAGTATTTTTTCTTTCGCTGCTCATCCCAACATTTCACACACCAAACAATATTTTCTGGTTTGCTTCAACCTCGCTGACAAGTACCTCGATCTCAGTTTCATAAAAGTTCCTCTTTTTCACCCTTTTTGCCACGATGATGACGACAGGTGAGGAAAAAATAAATCTTCACTTGCTTTATAAAGAGGCGTGTTGTTGCCCTGTATGGTGATTTGGAGGCGTTCCTGAAGGCAACGTGCACGAGCACGGAGGTTAAGAACAAGTGGGATTTATCAACACTGATGTACGTACGACCCCCGTACGCACATTTGATAAATACAGATTTTTTTGTACTTACGCACACTCTACATTTCATTTGTACGACAGAATTTAGAAACTCTTTTACGCACTGAGGATAAATGAGGCCCCAGGTCAGAATACCATTGAGACTCTGAAGGAAATTGAAGACTAGAGTGATGGCATGGAGGTCTACCAATTATAAGAACAGTTTATCACTAATGAAGAGTTATACACATGGCATTTTTAGTAATATTGGGAAAAAATATATATATAGTTTGTCACTTGTTCGTGAGAAACCTGTCAATCAATTAAAAATTTAAATCAGAATCTGAAGTGGATATGAATATTTTTTTGTCTCAAACTAGACCACAAAGCAAAAGCTCAGACTTCTGGACTTCTTTCCACCTGTCCTGCTGCTATGACAGAGATCCAGAGGTTATATCCAACAGATAGTTCACACCCTCCGAGTGCACGAGGGAACAGTTTTGATCTGAGAAGTTAAGGTTGAAGACGTGGACCCAAACAAGCCTGCCGGAGTGAAAGGTCTCCAATGGGGCGACCAGTCAAGCGTGCAGAGAGACTGAGTGTCTCCTTTTCTCTTCTCCGCTCACAGCAATCATCTTTACTCTGGTGCAATGCATCTCAGCCTGTGTTTTTCCATCCTGTCTTCTTCTTCTCTCTTCAACATCAGCACACACACACACACAAAGCTGCACTGTTAGCAGCCCATAGTGTATAATGGGGTCTCTAATGCATTCAGCCACCAATGGAAAGTCCATTTCACATCCAGTCCTGCAGGCCCGGCAATCTGACTGCAACATGATACACCAATACGGCCGATTATTACACTGCAGCTACTCTACGGATTCATAATGGGAGATATTTTCCCTCTTACACTGTCTCTTTTTTTCTCCTCCTCTAGTTCAACAACACACATTCATTCTAATTAAAAATAATCCTCGCCTAAACAGATTGCAGCAAAAGATCTGCAGTTTTGCTGTTAAATGGACACGAGTATCACACTGGTTAGAGTAAGCTGTACAATGCATTAGATAGACAATGAAATAAAGTGTTTCTAAAAAAGGCCTAGGCTGTCAAAGAACATTTCCTGGACTGGGTTGAAGCCGTTTTGTCTTCCTCGTTGCAGGAAGTCAGATAACAGAGAATACCACATGTAGAAGGGGACTCTCCACAAACCTTTAATCTTCCTCTCATCATCAGGGGACAGTTTCACAAAAAGCAATTTGTGAGCAGTGCTTACATGCAGCCTTTTGAAATGAGAGAAAATGACTTGTTAGCTGCTTTCAGCCCTAAGATGGTAAGATCACTGTGTCCAGACTGGCAAAGATTTCTTTAATATTCATGTGCCATAAATATGGTAGATATCCCAAACTGTGTGCTAAAATTAAACTCATATACAACTAGTTTGCAATAGAAAATACAGTATGATGGAAAGTTACTTTTTTTTTTTCCACCATGACAAGAAAACATTTTTATTTGTCTATGCTTTTTGTGAGATGTTGAAAAAGTCAGCTGGAACACAAAGATCAAATGCATCGAATGTTTAATTAAAATGCTCCCTATGGTATCAGAACCAGAAACTCTCTGGATTAGGAAACAATACCGGTTTATTTAAACCAACAAGGAATTATGTTTCTTAAAGCGGACGTGAATCATTTAAAGTTGTGGTCGTGTAATCAGCATCTAAATCAGTATTTAAATGCTTAGTTTCCAAACAGCTGATGAAGTAAGAAGCAGTTTTCCATATTTGTGGATAATTCTCACTGAATTCACTTCAGTCCCTAGTATGGTTTTGGGGACAGCCCTAATGTTTCCTTTGAAACATGTTTGGTGAACAAATTAGCGATTTTTGTTGAAACCTACAGTTTGCAGCCTGTTTTACTTGGATTGCATTTACTTGTTAAAGTGGTGATTCCAGAAAACTGGGGAACCTGATTTAAAGAGAGGGACAAAAACTGAAACAACAGTAGGACCCTGACATTTAGTCATTTCAGTTCAATACAGCATGCTTTATTGGCAAGGATATCAGCTTAGAAATGTTGTCAAAACATCAAGGATGGAGCTGTTTAAATAATGAGAGAATGAAAAAAAAGAAAAAGAAAAAAAGCAAATACAATTTCTTAAGTAGAGGGAAGAAATATGAATTTGATTTTTTTTTTTTTTAAGGCAAAAAACAAGAAAACTTGCAATTGTCTTTTTTTTTTTTTTTTTAGTGATGTTGTGATTAGGTCAGTATTTGGTCAAGATGTGTCTCTGTTTTGCATCTCTCACTTTAAAGAGATGTATTGTCAATTTATATTGATGGTTCATGGCCAGATAGTGAGTTTTGAGTTTCATTCTTCCAATGTTCCAGATAAGTATGTTTTATTACTGTAATTATTTGGTTGGTTTAGGTTGATCAGCTGTTTCTTGGGCGCTTGATTTGAAATGTTGTGAAAATGTAAGCAGTTTTAATGTTAACAGTTAAAGGGGAACGGTGTAATTCTTCCCTACATGCATTGATGAGTGTTTTTCGTTTGATATTTTATATAAATCTGCATGAAGAACCTCTATGGGATGCTTCTTCCATATAGTGCTGTCCTGTTACCTGTATCTAATCCCTAGTATTAGTAAAAACCCTCGAAACACTGCACCGTACATTTTCCACGATGTAGCTGGATGGCGTCTTTTTTTAAGTCTTATTTTCCTGATGAACACCCACATCTTTTAAACTCCACATCAGCACTTTGTACTGAGGCGTCCTCAGTCCAAGCTGCAATAATCCTGATGACTCATAATGACATCCTCATTTCCTCAGTCTTGACTCAGCTTCTCCAAATACACAGCAGACATCACTTAGCTATTTCCACGGCCTGATTAATGCTTCTGTTCACGAGTAAACTAAGGACAGATAATACTGGATTCTTCCAATTCATACTGGCTGATATATGCACACATTTCTTTCCACCTACCATAAGTAGAAATACTGATAGAGGAGTATTAATATTGCACTGATTTGATCTAAACTGCACATATTCTAGTACATGTGGAAAAATATGATACTGCAGAGTTTTTAAATGTACAAAATATTCATAACTCAATGCTATGAATGTGTTGATTTTGTACCAGAAAGAAGTAGGATTCACTGATAGCTTCACATCGTATTCCACATGTGCTCATCTGGATTGATTTTAAATCAGGTTATCGCTGGAAAAACATGTACAACGCATAAAAAAAAGTGTATGTTGTTTCAATTTTTTCCATATACATACAGAAAACATCAAGTGTCTCCTGTTGTGCACTTGTTTTAACGGAACATATCATGTCCATGTCGTCATTATCAATGCAATAGTCATATTCATGTTTTCATTTAAACTGTGCAACACGACCTTACTATGCCATTTTCAACCGGGACATTACCTTAACTTAAATGTTAAACATGCCATATTTATATTTTATATAATATTTTCCAATTAAACTTCTAGATATTTCTGTCTGTCAATTCATTTTGAGCAGCTGATTAAGCCTTTATTGATCAGTATAGTGATCATGGTGCTAATATTATCGTGTAAAGTAAACTGACTTCATGAGTATATTTGTCCATTAAACTCTACGCTTCCAGTTTGTGTGCAACACCAAAGCTCAACCTGAGATTTTCCATCCACCTTTCATTTCCTCCATCAACCACGATTGAGACCAGATCTGAAAGCTGCAGATGCTGGAAGAACAATGTGCTCTTTCCGGCTTCGTGCAGTTGAGCCGATCCTCCATTATAACGCGGAAACGTGCGCACGAAAGACTGCTGGATGCTTTCTGTGGCTCTGCGTTTGTATCGGAGGAAACTGCATAGTGCAGAGTCAGTATTGCCTAGCAACCAGGTGACCTTTCCTATTAGCAGCTGGTGACTGTGTCTTTTTGTGCGTGAGTGTGCATGCATGTGTGGCTGGGATCGGGATGGACAGGGAAATCCTCACACAGGCTAAAATCAAAGGAAATCATGCATGCAGGAAAATATCATACACACACAGAGGTTTGCCATACACACCCAGACACACACACACACACACACACACAAATGACAGGCAAACACGCACACACAGATCGATCCTTTCTTCAGCTTGTCTCCTGAAGGGACCAACATCCTTTTTTTTTTGTCGCCACCACCATCACCAGCGTGGCAGACTCACATATAGACTTACAGACACATCACTCTCCTTCCCTTCACGTTTGCTCGGGGGGAAAAAATGCCATTACTGTCCACTAAGCAAACATTTAGCCATCTCCTCTCTCTCAAAGCCCCGGCACTCCCACTGCAGTCTGGCTGCATGTGAACTGCAGCACAGTGGGGTGGGATGCCTTGCTCCAGGGTGCATCAGTGATTTGTGTCACCACAGTACAGAACAGCAACACCAAAAGAATAAAATAACACTCAGCACGGTCAAATAAGCTGATTAGTGTGGTGGAGGGAAGTGTTGTGTACCTGTCAGGTCCATGGTGATTGGTTCAGGGGCGTCATCACACAGCAGGGTCAGTCTGGTCACCTTGACATTCGGTCCAGAGAGGTCTGAAGAAGAGAAGCAGTGTCTTATTACAGAATTCATAAATGGATTCATTTATTCATTCATTGTTTGCTTATTTGCCTGATTTGACACTTGAGGGAATTTGCTTTTTCAGCTTCTTGCCACGTATCTGTTAGTAGATTAGCTCAACAGAAAGACAAACAAGAAACAAGAAACAAGCTAGGCACATTATATATATCACTTATTTAATCGGTGCTGCATTGGACAAACAGAAATACTGACCTGATTACAAAAGAATTACCATTAGCGCTTTTTACCAAATTTTATCTCAATCTATCTAACTGGCATTAAAGCTTAAACTCTGGCTCATCAAAATTGTAACAATAGCAGCTAAAAAGTATTAAAAAAACGTCCATTACACAAATGTGGAAATGACCAAAACAGTTTGTTTTTTTTTTAATCTGCGCATGTAAAGACATTATAGTTAATATTTCAGCAATGGAAAAAAAAAAAAAAAAGTTCTGTCCACCACTGAAATATGGAATAAATATTAGAACTCTGCACTAATCAGATCGAGAGGTTCAAGAAGTATTCAGATCTTTTACTTGAGTAAAAGTAGCAATACCACAATTATAAGCATGTCATTTTTTTTTTTTTTGTAAAATTTGATATACAAATATGAATTACACGCCAAANGGTCTACCAATTATAAGAACAGTTTATCACTAATGAAGAGTTATACACATGGCATTTTTAGTAATATTGGGAAAAAATATATATATAGTTTGTCACTTGTTCGTGAGAAACCTGTCAATCAATTAAAAATTTAAATCAGAATCTGAAGTGGATATGAATATTTTTTTGTCTCAAACTAGACCACAAAGCAAAAGCTCAGACTTCTGGACTTCTTTCCACCTGTCCTGCTGCTATGACAGAGATCCAGAGGTTATATCCAACAGATAGTTCACACCCTCCGAGTGCACGAGGGAACAGTTTTGATCTGAGAAGTTAAGGTTGAAGACGTGGACCCAAACAAGCCTGCCGGAGTGAAAGGTCTCCAATGGGGCGACCAGTCAAGCGTGCAGAGAGACTGAGTGTCTCCTTTTCTCTTCTCCGCTCACAGCAATCATCTTTACTCTGGTGCAATGCATCTCAGCCTGTGTTTTTCCATCCTGTCTTCTTCTTCTCTCTTCAACATCAGCACACACACACACACAAAGCTGCACTGTTAGCAGCCCATAGTGTATAATGGGGTCTCTAATGCATTCAGCCACCAATGGAAAGTCCATTTCACATCCAGTCCTGCAGGCCCGGCAATCTGACTGCAACATGATACACCAATACGGCCGATTATTACACTGCAGCTACTCTACGGATTCATAATGGGAGATATTTTCCCTCTTACACTGTCTCTTTTTTTCTCCTCCTCTAGTTCAACAACACACATTCATTCTAATTAAAAATAATCCTCGCCTAAACAGATTGCAGCAAAAGATCTGCAGTTTTGCTGTTAAATGGACACGAGTATCACACTGGTTAGAGTAAGCTGTACAATGCATTAGATAGACAATGAAATAAAGTGTTTCTAAAAAAGGCCTAGGCTGTCAAAGAACATTTCCTGGACTGGGTTGAAGCCGTTTTGTCTTCCTCGTTGCAGGAAGTCAGATAACAGAGAATACCACATGTAGAAGGGGACTCTCCACAAACCTTTAATCTTCCTCTCATCATCAGGGGACAGTTTCACAAAAAGCAATTTGTGAGCAGTGCTTACATGCAGCCTTTTGAAATGAGAGAAAATGACTTGTTAGCTGCTTTCAGCCCTAAGATGGTAAGATCACTGTGTCCAGACTGGCAAAGATTTCTTTAATATTCATGTGCCATAAATATGGTAGATATCCCAAACTGTGTGCTAAAATTAAACTCATATACAACTAGTTTGCAATAGAAAATACAGTATGATGGAAAGTTACTTTTTTTTTTTCCACCATGACAAGAAAACATTTTTATTTGTCTATGCTTTTTGTGAGATGTTGAAAAAGTCAGCTGGAACACAAAGATCAAATGCATCGAATGTTTAATTAAAATGCTCCCTATGGTATCAGAACCAGAAACTCTCTGGATTAGGAAACAATACCGGTTTATTTAAACCAACAAGGAATTATGTTTCTTAAAGCGGACGTGAATCATTTAAAGTTGTGGTCGTGTAATCAGCATCTAAATCAGTATTTAAATGCTTAGTTTCCAAACAGCTGATGAAGTAAGAAGCAGTTTTCCATATTTGTGGATAATTCTCACTGAATTCACTTCAGTCCCTAGTATGGTTTTGGGGACAGCCCTAATGTTTCCTTTGAAACATGTTTGGTGAACAAATTAGCGATTTTTGTTGAAACCTACAGTTTGCAGCCTGTTTTACTTGGATTGCATTTACTTGTTAAAGTGGTGATTCCAGAAAACTGGGGAACCTGATTTAAAGAGAGGGACAAAAACTGAAACAACAGTAGGACCCTGACATTTAGTCATTTCAGTTCAATACAGCATGCTTTATTGGCAAGGATATCAGCTTAGAAATGTTGTCAAAACATCAAGGATGGAGCTGTTTAAATAATGAGAGAATGAAAAAAAAGAAAAAGAAAAAAAGCAAATACAATTTCTTAAGTAGAGGGAAGAAATATGAATTTGATTTTTTTTTTTTTTAAGGCAAAAAACAAGAAAACTTGCAATTGTCTTTTTTTTTTTTTTTTTAGTGATGTTGTGATTAGGTCAGTATTTGGTCAAGATGTGTCTCTGTTTTGCATCTCTCACTTTAAAGAGATGTATTGTCAATTTATATTGATGGTTCATGGCCAGATAGTGAGTTTTGAGTTTCATTCTTCCAATGTTCCAGATAAGTATGTTTTATTACTGTAATTATTTGGTTGGTTTAGGTTGATCAGCTGTTTCTTGGGCGCTTGATTTGAAATGTTGTGAAAATGTAAGCAGTTTTAATGTTAACAGTTAAAGGGGAACGGTGTAATTCTTCCCTACATGCATTGATGAGTGTTTTTCGTTTGATATTTTATATAAATCTGCATGAAGAACCTCTATGGGATGCTTCTTCCATATAGTGCTGTCCTGTTACCTGTATCTAATCCCTAGTATTAGTAAAAACCCTCGAAACACTGCACCGTACATTTTCCACGATGTAGCTGGATGGCGTCTTTTTTTAAGTCTTATTTTCCTGATGAACACCCACATCTTTTAAACTCCACATCAGCACTTTGTACTGAGGCGTCCTCAGTCCAAGCTGCAATAATCCTGATGACTCATAATGACATCCTCATTTCCTCAGTCTTGACTCAGCTTCTCCAAATACACAGCAGACATCACTTAGCTATTTCCACGGCCTGATTAATGCTTCTGTTCACGAGTAAACTAAGGACAGATAATACTGGATTCTTCCAATTCATACTGGCTGATATATGCACACATTTCTTTCCACCTACCATAAGTAGAAATACTGATAGAGGAGTATTAATATTGCACTGATTTGATCTAAACTGCACATATTCTAGTACATGTGGAAAAATATGATACTGCAGAGTTTTTAAATGTACAAAATATTCATAACTCAATGCTATGAATGTGTTGATTTTGTACCAGAAAGAAGTAGGATTCACTGATAGCTTCACATCGTATTCCACATGTGCTCATCTGGATTGATTTTAAATCAGGTTATCGCTGGAAAAACATGTACAACGCATAAAAAAAAGTGTATGTTGTTTCAATTTTTTCCATATACATACAGAAAACATCAAGTGTCTCCTGTTGTGCACTTGTTTTAACGGAACATATCATGTCCATGTCGTCATTATCAATGCAATAGTCATATTCATGTTTTCATTTAAACTGTGCAACACGACCTTACTATGCCATTTTCAACCGGGACATTACCTCAACTTAAATGTTAAACATGCCATATTTATATTTTATATAATATTTTCCAATTAAACTTCTAGATATTTCTGTCTGTCCATTCATTTTGAGCAGCTGATTAAGCCTTTATTGATCAGTATAGTGATCATGGTGCTAATATTATCGTGTAAAGTAAACTGACTTCATGAGTATATTTGTCCATTAAACTCTACGCTTCCAGTTTGTGTGCAACACCAAAGCTCAACCTGAGATTTTCCATCCACCTTTCATTTCCTCCATCAACCACGATTGAGACCAGATCTGAAAGCTGCAGATGCTGGAAGAACAACGTGCTCTTTCCGGCTTCGTGCAGTTGAGCCGATCCTCCATTATAACGCGGAAACGTGCGCACGAAAGACTGCTGGATGCTTTCTGTGGCTCTGCGTTTGTATCGGAGGAAACTGCATAGTGCAGAGTCAGTATTGCCTAGCAACCAGGTGACCTTTCCTATTAGCAGCTGGTGACTGTGTCTTTTTGTGCGTGAGTGTGCATGCATGTGTGGCTGGGATCGGGATGGACAGGGAAATCCTCACACAGGCTAAAATCAAAGGAAATCATGCATGCAGGAAAATATCATACACACACAGAGGTTTGCCATACACACCCAGACACACACACACACACACACACACAAATGACAGGCAAACACGCACACACAGATCGATCCTTTCTTCAGCTTGTCTCCTGAAGGGACCAACATCCTTTTTTTTTTGTCGCCACCACCATCACCAGCGTGGCAGACTCACATATAGACTTACAGACACATCACTCTCCTTCCCTTCACGTTTGCTCGGGGGGAAAAAATGCCATTACTGTCCACTAAGCAAACATTTAGCCATCTCCTCTCTCTCAAAGCCCCGGCACTCCCACTGCAGTCTGGCTGCATGTGAACTGCAGCACAGTGGGGTGGGATGCCTTGCTCCAGGGTGCATCAGTGATTTGTGTCACCACAGTACAGAACAGCAACACCAAAAGAATAAAATAACACTCAGCACGGTCAAATAAGCTGATTAGTGTGGTGGAGGGAAGTGTTGTGTACCTGTCAGGTCCATGGTGATTGGTTCAGGGGCGTCATCACACAGCAGGGTCAGTCTGGTCACCTTGACATTCGGTCCAGAGAGGTCTGAAGAAGAGAAGCAGTGTCTTATTACAGAATTCATAAATGGATTCATTTATTCATTCATTGTTTGCTTATTTGCCTGATTTGACACTTGAGGGAATTTGCTTTTTCAGTTTCTTGCCACGTATCTGTTGGTAGATTAGCTCAACAGAAAGACAAACAAGAAACAAGAAACAAGCTAGGCACATTATATATATCGCGTATTTAATCGGTGCTGCATTGGACAAACAGAAATACTGACCTGATTACAAAAGAATTACCATTAGCGCTTTTGAAAAAAATGTTTTTATCAAATTTTATCTCAATCTATCTAACTGGCATTAAAGCTTAAACTCTGGCTCATCAAAATTGTAACAATAGCAGCTAAAAAGTATTAAAAAAACGTCCATTACACAAATGTGGAAATGACCAAAACAGTTTGTTTTTTTTTTAATCTGCGCATGTAAAGACATTATAGTTAATATTTCAGCAATGGAAAAAAAAAAAAAAAAGTTCTGTCCACCACTGAAATATGGAATAACTATCAGAACTCTGCACTAATCAGATCGAGAGGTTCAAGAAGTATTCAGATCTTTTACTTGAGTAAAAGTAGCAATACCACAATTATAAGCATGTCATTTTTTTTTGTGCAAAATTTGATATACAAATATGAATTACACGCCAAAATGGAGTCTGTTACTGGACTACTGTTACTGATGTATTATTTTGCATTTGAACATTGAACCTGACTGAGATGTAGAGCTGATAAAGTTTAATTTATAGGCTGCAGGATAACTTAATTTGCGGTACAACAATTCATTGTATTTCATATTATTATTCATATTATGATAGGTAGATAGTAATCAATAACTACAGCTGTCAGACAAATAGAATGGAGTAAAAGGAAATATTTTAGCTCTAAATTACACTTAAGTCAAACCAGGAAGAAGCATAAAAGCAAAATACTCAAGTAAAGTACGAGTACCTCAGAATGGTACCTGCATAAATGCTCATAGTTACCTTTCACTGCTTAGATTTAAAGCCTCTGTTTGAGAATAAAATCCTCCCCTCTCTGCTTTTTCCATCCTCTCATTATAACCTTTCCTACTGAATTCAATACTGCTAAGCTGCAGATGAAGTGGTGTAGAGTTACAGCAGCAAGCTATTTTACTGATATCAGCTGTCATAGCCTGGCTGCTGCTGGATTAGAGATGCTGAGGCTAGCAGGTCTGCTGCAGTGTGTGTGTGTGTGTGTGTGTGTGTGTGTGTGTGTGTGTGCGTGTGTGCGTGTGTGTGTGTGTGTTTGATCTGATGACTGTGAGGAAGTATGCACCGAATCGTTACACTGAGAGAATAGCAGTATAGCAATAAAGCTGCAGTAACACCGAGGCGCTGGCGTGAATCATCACTTCTTCTTCTTCTTCTTCCACAGGTGAACTATAAACACAAACACACACCTGCCATCATGGCTTCTGGCCCCAGCAGCGTCTGCTTGTACTTCACCAGACTCTCGTCGTCTTTGTCCAGCTCCTGGATCTCCTGCAGCGACTTCTGCGCTGGAGGATTGTAGTTGAGGTTTCGCTCATCCTCTTCGTCCTCGATAGGCAAATCATTCTTATCAGCCATCAGACCTTCCAGGAGAGACAGGAGAAGACCATTAAAGATATATATATTCTTACTCTGACATGCTGCAGCGTTTGCAGAGGGTTTACTACATCAGTGTTCTTTGCCTGATGCTTAATCATATAGAATACAATACAATAAGCCTTTATTAATCCCACAGTGGGGTAATTTGCATTAGCAAATGGTGATAGTGCAAACATTTGAGAATTATCAGTAGGAAAATAAAACATAAATCAAAAAGCAGCAGAGGGTAGTAGATGTTTCACCACAATTTCAGCCTCATAGTTTACTAACTGATCTAAATCCATTATTTTAATAAACAATTTAGCTCTTTGCTTGGACCGTTGATCCAATTATTAATGTTCAACTGATTTTTTTAGTATTTTAGTCGACAGTTTCGCACCATTTATCCACAACTCTTTCATTTTATCTGCTTGCAAACTAGGTTTTCACAAACTCTGAACATGTAGTGTTCATGTGTTACAGATGTATTGAATTGAATTTTAAATTTTAAATCATTGAATTTCCCTTCTGAATTGAATTTCCCTTCTGGGATGAATAAAGTATTTTTCATTTCATTTCATTTCATTCATTTTCATGTCTCAATACATTTTTAAATTTAAAGGTAATTTCGGTTTTTGAAACTGGCAGAGCTATAGCGTAATTATTCATAATAGCTTTTGAACTGCAGAAGAACCCTTTGAGGTAACATTTTCCCCTGGCTGGGGTTACTTAGTCTGTGTCATATATTACTGAGAGAAGAAGGAGAGAATGAATTGTTTAGTTGGGAGCAAACAAGCATTAGGAGATTGGACTAACATCGGCCAATAATGTTTGATTGAGTCCATCATAAATAAGATTTGAGACCAAAAACTGTACCTGTGGTTGTGCACACTGATCAATTCACACCAAATGTTATCGCCACCTGTTTGCTCGGTTAAAGGGGTGCAGGCAGAGGCCTCCTTCATCTCTACATCTTATTGCTCAAGGTGATTTATGGTATGGTAATAATAGATTTATTTGCCTGAAACTGCACATTTGAAAAGCTGGAAAAATGCTTCATTTATATCCTTCAGATTGTTGGTTTTGTCCACTTTAAACTTAATTTAATAATAATAATAATAATTGATCAGATTTATATAGCGCTTTTCTGGACACTCAAAGACGCTTTACACTGTCAATTATTCATTCACACACATTCATTCCAGTGGTGGTAAGCTACGATTGTAGCCACAGCTGCCCTGGGGCAGACTGACAGAGGCGTGGCTGCCATTCTGCGCCTACGGCCCCTCTGACCACCACCTCAAACAATCCATTCATACACATTCACACCAGGCAAGGTGGGTGAAGTGTCTTGCCCAAGGACACAACGACCATGAAACAGGTCCGACCTTCCGATCACCGACCGACTCGCTCTACCATCTGAGCCACAGCCGCCCGTGTTCATTTTTGCATCAAGCTTCCTGTGCGTGCTGCATACACGCCACTGTAAATATATTGTTGTTGTACTGATGGTGGCGGGTTGGAAAATGTTAACATATATGACAACACTGGAATAAAAGCTTTGAGAAAACTGTTGAAAGATGATACACTAGATCCATAATACACAAGAAATGGCAAATTGAAATTTTCTAACTTTTCTTTTCTATTTCTGTAAAAGGTTTTCACATTGTTAAACATCAAAATCAAGGTTATTACAGCTTCTTTCCATCTGACAAAGTATTTAGCGATTAACAGGTGCATCTGTAACAATATCGAGAAACCAAGAAAAAAACAAAAACTGCCTGTTTTGAGTCACCTGGAAAGTGTGAGCAAAAGGCAAACAACATTTTCAGCCGCTGAGCTTATCTCCAGAAAGTATTTCTGTCATATTTCAGTGAAAACTTGGGCAGCACAGAGGCCAGATTGCCGGGTTTCTGCTATATGATGTGAATTACGGTATGTAGGCCAGCTCCAGCCATCCGGGGTCTGATTTCATCAGGGATTTTGATTCAATATTGAACTTTACAGACATTCAATAATGTGTTCTGTGAGCCCAAATTTCATTTTAGCATCTCCGCCTCATCTGCACCTCCAGAGAGTAAATAGATGCAGACTGGAATAAATATGTAACTGGATGGATTTGACCAAATAAAACTACAGTCATGAAAACTCGTTGAAAAACAATGATTTTGGTAACAAAGCAGTCAGTATGTCATAGGGTAGTAGCCACTTTTAACAAAAATATGCAACACTGGCATGAATTTACTAAGATTTAAAAAGAATTGACAAACAAGTCAAATTAATACTTCAATAAATATGAGCTTAAATTATACATACTGCAGGTAAACAATCAGAGGCGGATCATTCATTTCATATCTACATTACAAATATTCTTAAAGCATCTTAGATCATAACTAAAGGTAAAACATCGGGTGTTGCTATAGCTCACCTGGTTGAGCTGGCGACCCATGTACTATAGTCCTAGTAGTGCTACAGGCTATAGTCCCCAACATGGAGGTCAGGAGTTCGAATCCTGCTCATGGCCCTTTTCCGTAGGTCCGTCCCCCATTCTTCTCCCCCACTTTCCTGTCTCTCTCTAACTGCACTTTCAAATAAAGGCAAAAATGCCAAAAATATAACTAAAAAAAAAAAAAAAAATCACTTGACGACAATAAGTTTGTCTACATCTTTGTTTGGCACAACCATGTACTTGAAAGCTCTGTTTTTAGTTTCATGTCACTTTTGACCACATCCTATACTTCACTTATCAATTTACAAAACATACACACAAACACACAAAGTAAGACGGTGTTCTCACATTAAGACATTACATGGTTACAGACACAAATGCACAATGCATGCCTCCAGACTCCAATTATCCATGGAGGGGTGCAATGCACACAAACGGCGTCGTGGATGTCTATTTGCCGTGCTGTTACAGCGCGGTGTAATCACCTCTGCTTCTGTTTTTACTCTTCATAATGAGATGACACAGTGAACATCACCTCGGAGCTTCGTTTACAGGTAATTGGATGACACGGGGAGCTCTCTCACACACACACAAACACACACACAAACACACACCTGCTGTGCCTGTTTTGTGTGTTACTTTACAGCAGCACCCCACCCAGTCAGGGCCAAACACTGCTGCCTTTGCCCGTCACCATGGCAACCCTTTCAACTTCCCTCGCAGTGACATCACCTTTTTTTGCTGTGAATCTGTTTTATAGGGAGCGAATATACAGCGAGAGAGATTCATGGTGTATCAGTTTTAATGCACCCTGGGCACATGCAGGCACATTCTTATAAATCTTTGTTGACCTACATGGTATCCTTCTTGTAGTTTTTTTTTTGCTCTATAACCACAATTTGTCATAATCTAAACCTTTAACATACAGTTTTTGTCATTTTTGAAGTGTCTTTTATCCCTTAACGTGCTTTACTGACTGATTTTGGCATCTATAGTTTCTTCTCATCATTTAATAAAGTGAAGGAAGCGATAATTTATCCGTTGGCTCGACCTGGAGCCACTCCCGGCTGACACTGGATGAGAGGAGGGCTACATCCTGAACAGACTGCCAGTCAATCACAGCGCTGACACACAGAGACAGACAGCCCATCACGCTCCTGTTCACACATAACAGCAAATTGGAGAGACTGAGGAAGGAAGCCGGAGGAGCTGGAGAAAACCCCCGGAGGCACAAGGAGGAGAATATGAACTCCACACAGTTCATACCGGCCCTCTTGGACAGCTTGGTTTGAGTCGACTAAACTCTGCACCACAATGTTTAGCTGATTTCTCCTTTTCCTTCTAACTAATAAAAGGCAGATGATTGTGTCCCTACACAAGCACATCCATTTCTTTGAATGCATCATTATCATTTAACCCTTACATACTACGTCGGGTCAGATTTGAGCCGTTCTGACATTTGACAGCAGTAAAAACACCCTGAAGGTCTTTTAGCCTGAAATTTGATGACTTTTCCTAAAGTGAACCAAAATACACACAAAAAAGGAAATATATAAAAAAAAATGTATACACAAAATTTTGTACAAGTGCTACACATTTTTGTACACTGAGGCTGCTTTGGGTCAAATTTAAGCATTGAGATGGATTTTAGATCTATCAGTGTGGCTTAAATCAAGGAAAATGGTGGTTTTAGGGAATCTTACAGGCCATGTTTTGTGTGTACTCCTTATCTACATGTATTAATGTGACATAGACTAATTAGACATTCTAACTAGATCTAAAAATTTGGTACTGTGAGGGAATTCTTGACAGGAATTCTTCTGTAAAGGCATAAAATATGAACAGTATGTAAAGGTTAAGTGTGCACAAGATAAAAAGGTAATTGATGCACATGTATTTCCTGATTGGAAAAGTGAATTAGTAGGGTTTCCTACTACATTTTTTTGCCTTGAAACTGCTAAGACAATCTTAAAAACACATAATCCAAACTTCGGGGGTTTTACATAGAACAAACTTAAGCAACCAATTCTGCCAACTTCCACGTCGGTGCTTTCCGTATTGTTGCTGTTTTGCAGAACCTGTTTCTTGTTTGAACATTTGTGGCTGCATTAGTCCGATATTATGACTTGACATCGTGCAGCATAGAGTAGTTTTACAGTGTTTGAGCAGAGACATAGGTGAGCTGGTGTGCAGAGCTGCAGTGAAGCAACTGAGTTACATTTAAAGCCATTTAAGGCACTGAGGAATCATTTTTATGGAGTAAAAAAATTCCAAATATGCAACTTTTTAGGGATTTAATCGGTGGATCAGAGACTTTAAGTTTATATATGTGAAAACAAAGGTAGCCGATGCCCTTTTTTTTTTTTTTTTTTAATTCTTAAATTGTCTGTAGCTACTCATTAATTGTAACACAGAATATTCAAATAATACTAAATCGTGATAGACTGATTAATTGACCGGGCAGCTAATCGGGCTGATTTAATCACATTTTAAGAAAATCAACTTCTGCTGATTACCGGCTTATGAGGCTAGAAACACCAGAAACAGCAGAGCGGA